CTTCAGTGGTTAACAGTTAATCTCTTAACATAAAAAAGGGTCTTTGTGTTTTGGGAGGTGAAGGAAAAGCTTGCTGGAGTAGCCAGTCCAGGGAAAGGGGGAGGGGGTGACCAAAGGCGGTGGGGGGGGGTGTGCTCCGGTGCAAGAGAGGTGGAGGGAAGCAGAAAGAGAAGCAGGCAGGCAGAGTCCTGGGCCCACCGGGCCTCTCCCAGCACAGTGCCGGTGCTGCCTGGCCCTCCTCAACAGGGACCCTGCTGCAAGTGGGGATTTCCCAGCAGCCCTTGCCTCGTGGGTCATCAGGTCTCTTAGATCTGAGCCAGCTTCCCTCTCTCCAACTCCAGCCTTTGCAGCCTGAGCCCCCAGAGCCCGGGGGCACTGTGACAACCCCTGTCTTACCTCCAGCGGTTCTACCTGTACCTTCTTGCTTCCCTCAGCACAGAAGCCCAGAAAGTCCAGGATGTGGTCTTGTTTGGTCTCTCCTTCCCTACCATCCTCTACAGATTTTGTCTCTCTGCAGCCAAGGAAAGGGAAAGAACAAGAAGACAGTGGCTCAAGCTGGTTGGAGACACAGTAGAACTAAAGAAATCTGAGTGTCCTCTAAAAATCTGAGCCGGGGCGCCTGGATGGCTCAGTGGGTTAAAGCCTCTGCCTTCGGTTCAGGTCATGATCCCAGAGTCCTGGGATCAAGCCCCCCATCGGGCTCTCTGCTCAGCAGGGAGCCTGCTTCCTCCTCTCTCTCTGCCTGCCTCTCTGCTACTTGTGATCTCTGTCTGTCAAATAAATAAATAAAGTCTTAAAAAAAAAAACCTCCTCTGTTAAACATTTTAAAAAATAAATAAATAAAAAATAAAAATCTGAGCCATGTCATGTCCATCACCATCATGGTTACTGATCATGTTGATTGAGCTCTCACCATGGGCCAGGCATCATCTCATTTAGCATTCCAGAATGTCCCAGCATCCCAGGTCACAGGTCACACAGGCAATCCTTGGCCAAGCTGGCCGCACAGGGAGCCTCCCTGGCTGTGCCTGAACCCCCACAGTGGACCATCCTGCCTCCTATGGTCCTGTTCCAAAGGAGAACAATTTGTCCTCTGGCCATGGAGTCTTCCCAGTTGAAAGAGCCTACCCAATTAATACAAATGCTTCCTCCCCTTTCCTACTCTGGCATTCCACTTCCTGTCACAGGCACATGCTTGGATGGTCTTGGATCCCCCAATCTGATGACAGTCTCTAAAGAAGTGTCTCCCCTGTCTCATGTAGAAAATGACACCAGGTCTTCATGCCCCATCTGTTGGGGTGACCTGAGTTGGGATTTGAGCCAAGGTACCATCTCAGCTAATCCCATGCTAAAAGTGCTGTCCCTCTATGGAGGGATGATGGCCCCTCCTCTCCCGAGACAACGTAATAGCACAGATATAACCTGCAAATGCTCAGTGTTACTGCAGACTTACAGCTGGGGAATAGGCCACTGCATTGCTCCCAACCAGGTTCTTGAACCCCAGGACCTGGGCAGCCTCTGAAAGACTTGTGGGGCCATGGTGGCCACAGGCTCTGAGCTCCACGAACAGAAGGGCAACCTCTCCAGCAGCAGCTCCCCTTCTTGGACACCCAGAGATTGAAGAGGACTAAGAAAGCAGCCTGGGAGGATCACAGCCTGGGGAGGGCGCTGGAAATCCCAGGTTACTAATTCAGGACTTCATGCACCATGGGAATCTCCGCATCACACCACGCCAGGTGCAAAAGAAGGGGCAACAGACTTTTAAGGCTGTCTCCCTGCACAGGACCCAAAAGGAGTGGGCTCAACCCTGTGGGGTGTGTACAGGCTGCCATAAACCCCAGGAAGACACTGTCAGGTCCCAAAGTCATGAAAGGAGTGCTTTGAGCTTCTCAGGAGTCAGGTATCAGACGCCTCTGAGAATGACCTTCACCAAAGTCTTTCCTTGCAAATGGAGCCAACTCAGGTTAGTAAACAGCTTCCACCCAGAGGCAGAGAAACAGGTCTGACCCCCAAAGGAGACAGACTTCTCATTTGCACATCACTTTCTACTGTTCTCATAACCTGTTTCATGGAAGCCACACACTTGTTCAGGCTTCCCGGCTCTTCACACACATAGACTTCCATCTCCATGTTTGGAAAAGGGTTTTTCAACTCTGCAGATGAGGAAAGGTTAAATGCCCTCCTCAGGGATAAAAGCTCAGCAGAGAAAGAACCTGGACACTAGTCTGGACCTCAAATACCTCCTCAGACATTTTCCAAGTTACAGTGCTTTTAACTTTGGTGGAAAGATTCTTTGTCCCCTCTGCTGGATTAAAGATTCTGGGTGGGCAATAAAGGATTTCATTTCTTTACTTCGTTGAGTCTGTTCTCCTTCTTTCTTCCCTTCTTTCTTTTTTTTTTTTTTTATATTTTATTTATTTATTTGACAGAGATCACAAGTAGGCAGAGAGGCAGGCAGAGAGGGAGGAGGAAGCAGGCTCCCTGCTGAGCAGAGAGCCGGATCCAGGGCTCCATCCCAGGATTCTGGGATCACGACCTGAGCCAAAGGCAGAGGCTTTAACCCACTGAGCCACCCAGGTGCCCCTTTCTTTCTTTTTTTAAAACAAGATTTTATTTATTTGACAGAGAGAGATAGCACAAGCAGTGGGGAGGAGCAGAGGGAGAGGGAAAAGCAGGTTCCCCCCTGAGCAGGGAGCCCAATGTGAGGCTGGACCCCAGGACCCTGGAATCATGACCTGAGCTGAATGCAGACGCTTAACCTACTGAGCCAGCCAGGCGCTCCCCTTGAATCTGTTCTATTCCCCAAGTGTGGATGTGAATGCAATGGTGGATGGGTGGAATTAAATGAACTTTAGCAGAGACTAATTCTTCCTACCAGACCCTCACCACCCCTCCCACTTTTATCCAAGTATCTCAAAAACTTCTTCCTCCCCTTTGTTGGCTTCTGTCACTGGACTCAGTGCATAGAGAGAGAGCTTCTGAGCACAGACAGTTTGAAAAGAGCAAAATAAAAATAGCCGATTGATCGATAATAGAACGGTAAAGTCTCTAAGTACCACAGGGGAGGGCATTAGTCTTAAAGCTGGCTGGGAAGAGATGACATGGGGTGGGCAGAAACCTCTCTGAGAGCTTGGCTTGCTCCGAGGTGATGCAGGAGGCTGCTCCTGGTGGGGCATGGGAGGGAACAGCCAGTCAAAGGTTCTGCTTTCTGCTTTTGTTCTGTCTTAGCCAGCGCCTGTCCCAAGGCTCCCATTCCTTACCAAACTGGCTGGCTAGATACTACTGTGCAAGAGGGAGTGAGGCACCTGCCTGCAAGGGATTGCTTCAGTGTGGCCTAGTAGGCAGAACCTCCCACCCCTGCTAACAGTGCTCAGCTAAACCAGGCCTCTCTACCTTTACGTCTCCCCCCATGACACTGTACGTAATTGTTCCTCTCTGCTTAGGCTCTTTCTGGCTGGTATTGATCGTTGCTTTTATTGGCAAACAACACACTACGATAAAAAATAAAGCACAAGAGCTTGTGCAGGGAGAGTAAAATGGATTCTGTGTCTCCAGGGCTGGCAGAAAACTTGCTCTGAGACCCAGTGGTCAACCGGGTACCTGATTCTCCCCTCAGGGCACCCCTGCAATTATTGTAAGGACGTTTGTCTTGTCTGTCTGTCTCCTTCCTCCAGAGGGCAAGGCGGCTGCGGTCTTCCCCACACCTCCTGAGTGCTTGGGGCTCAATTCATAGTTGCTAACTGACACCAACATGGGGCCTTCCAGGAAGCAGTCATTTCAGGGCTAGGCCTGGCGCCACACCTCTTAGCTCATTTTCACAGGCATCTGCCCTGGCTGGCCAGTCACCACCACAATTTGGGGTTAGGGGTTTGGTCCGGTCGAGGAGCTAACAACACCAGCTACCTAGAACATTCAGGGTTGTCCTGTCCTGTTCAGTGCCTAGGCCACTTGTACCCATAAGCTTGGAGAGGTGGAGCCTTTTTGGTGTTCTTACCCCCTTTTTATAGACAGAAATGAGGCCTGACACTCCCATGTGCCTTACCAGTCACACATTTCTCTTCTTAAAATAGCAATGTGGAGGGACCCAGTTTGTACCTAGGTTCAATTTCTTTATCTGTTATAGGGACAAATAACACTACCTCTTTGGGTTGTTCAAAGGATGCTTGCTGATGGTTTGTTTTCTGCTCTGGACTATAAAAAGGCGGCAGGGACTTTGGCTTATTCACTGCTATATCGTCAGAGCCTGGAACAAGTGCCTGCCCGGCACATAGTAGGTGCTCAATATTTGTTTCCTAAACAGAAATGACGTGAGAAGAGCCTAGGCCAGACTCTGGCATTTCCCTCTGCGAGGACATTCTATATCCTTAATTCCCCAGATTGCTCCAGCCAGGCAGCCCGTGGCCAAAGGGGCCTGGGGGTACCTACTTCTGGCCTTGGGACCCCAGATCAGCAAAACTCCCAGGCCAGAAAAATCTCCACGGGACAGTCTGCAATGCCGGTGAACCTGAAGAAGGCCTCCGCCCTCAGGTTCCCTTTTCTTTTTTATATCAGGAAAAGCATTTTTGTCCTCCTCCCCCACCCCCAGGCACAACGCGGTGCTGCTTCCGAGGTGCCTACAAAGAAGCGCCACCCTGCCCCGAGCAGCAATCTTCTGGGGGAAGGAGCCCAGCACGCAACGCCCGGCTGGACTGCAGCAGAGGAGCGGCGAGGCCTGGCAAGCAGGCCAAGCAGAGGAGAGCGGGCCGAACCGACGCTCAGCGGGCGGAAAGGCCGGCGGGAAAGGGCGTTCGAGGAGAAGGGCGGGGCGAACGTCCGCCCTTGGCTCCCGCGCTCGGGCGCCGCTCCACCTTAAGCTCCGGACCCCCTTAAGGGCGGGCACTGGAGGAGCGCGCCCGGAGGCGGGATCTCCCATGCAAATGAGGGGCGTGGGTCGGCGGGGCGGGGCGGGCGGGGCGCTGACCTGACGTCAGGCCCGGGGCCCGGGCAGTTGGCTCGGCGGCGTCCAGGCGGCAGGAGCGGCGGCGGGAGCCGGGCCGCGCAGCTGGGCGCGGGGGAGCGGCGGCGGCCGAGCCGGAGCAACATGGCGCCGGTAGGCGGGGGCGGGCGCCCGGGCGGGGGGTCGGCCCGAGGGCGCCTCCTCCTGGCCGCGCTGCTGCTGCTGGTGCTGATGTGGGCGCGGGGGGCCCGGGGCCAGGGCGACCCCCAGTGGGGCGCCATCCTGGGCATGAGACTGGCGAGCTGCAACAAATCGTGTGGGATGAATCCGGAGGGCATCATCTTCGTGTCCGAGGGCAGCACGGTGAACCTGAGGCTGTACGGCCAGAGGCTGGGCTCCCTCTCCAGCAACCTGATCTCCTTCACCGAGGTGGACAACTTAGAGGCGATCCAGAACTCCACCAACTGTCCCGAGCTCACCAAGGACCTGGTCGTCCAGCAGCTGGTCAACGTGAGCCGCGGGAACACGTCCGGGATGCTGGTGGTGCTCACTAAGTTCCTCCGGAGGAGCGAGAACATGAAGTTGTATGCATTGTGTACCCGGGCCGGGGTGAACGGGCCTTGGCAGAGGTGGACCGATAAGGATTCGCTGCTCTTCATGGTGGAGGAGGCTGGGAGGTTCCTGCCCCTCTGGCTGCACATCCTCCTCATTACGGTGCTGCTGGTGCTGTCGGGCATGTTTTCTGGCCTCAACCTGGGGCTTATGGCCCTGGACCCCATGGAGCTGCGTATCGTGCAGAACTGTGGCACCGAGAAGGAGAGACGCTATGCCCGCAAGATTGAGCCCATCCGGCGCAAGGGCAACTACTTACTCTGTTCTCTGCTTCTGGGAAACGTGCTGGTCAACACCTCCCTCACCATCCTTCTAGACAACCTCATCGGGTCTGGGCTCATGGCGGTGGCCTCCTCCACCATTGGCATTGTCATTTTTGGGGAGATCGTTCCTCAGGCCTTGTGCTCCCGCCATGGCCTGGCTGTGGGTGCCAACACTATCATCCTCACCAAATTCTTTATGCTACTCACCTTCCCCCTCAGTTTCCCCATCAGCAAGCTCCTGGATTTTGTTTTGGGCCAGGAGATTCGTACCGTTTACAACCGGGAGAAGCTGATGGAGATGTTGAAGGTAACAGAGCCCTATAACGACCTGGTGAAAGAGGAGCTAAACATGATCCAGGGTGCCCTGGAGCTACGGACCAAAACCGTGGAGGATATCATGACCCAGCTCCAAGACTGCTTCATGATCCGCAGCGATGCCATCCTGGACTTCAATACCATGTCGGAGATCATGGAGAGCGGCTACACCCGCATCCCTGTGTTTGAAGACGAGCAGTCCAATATTGTCGATATCCTCTATGTCAAAGACTTGGCCTTCGTGGACCCTGATGACTGCACCCCCCTCAAGACCATCACCCGCTTCTATAACCACCCAGTGCATTTCGTCTTCCACGACACCAAGTTGGATGCCATGCTGGAGGAGTTCAAGAAGGGTAAGGCTGGATGGAGCTCTCCCCGTTTAGCTGGCTTTGGGACGCCTGTCGTTTGATTGCCTGTTTTGTGTCAGCTGGCCTTAGTGTTTTTGGTGTGACTGTCCCTTTGCCCATCACTTCTGTGCCTCTGAGGTGGATGGTATTTGGGGCAGCGGGATCAGTTCGTAAGCATCTGCCGCCTTGCCAGGTACTGTGCTTTGTGCGCCCGGTGAATCAGAGCTGAGACAGGCTTGTGCGCTTGGAGGGATAGAGCAAGGCCTCAGGGAGCTACTGAAGCAGCACGGAGTAAGGCTAATGCTTTCAAAGAGGCCACAGAGATTAGTGCGTGGGGCCGCACATCTGATTGGGGTGCCATGGGGAAGGGGCTGGGGCCTTGGGAAAACCGTCACAGGGGAGGGAGCATTGAAGGAGAGCCTGGAGATGTGGGGACACCTGGTACCCAAGGCAGGGGCATCCCCACAAGGAGCAAAGGATGTGCTTTGGGCCTAGCAGGTGGTCCTGTTGAGCTGGATTGGAGCTTGGTTGAGCTGCTCGGTGGTCAGTGGTCAGTGGGGAGAGGCTGAGTCATCTGGGGCCTTGGGGAAGAGCCTGGAGTCAGGGCGGTGCATTTGCTTGGAGCTGTTGGAAGTTTTGAGCAAGAGTGATGTTTCTGGATCTCCTAACCCACAGAAGCTGAATTGAGAGGTCTCTGTTTGGCTCCCTATTCAGAACAGTGCCAAGTAATGCTTTCGACTATTCAGCAGAAGCAAGCAGATCAAGTTTTGGTTATTGTTCTGTCTTTTCCCAGGCGCCAAACATCAGCTTCCCTCCTGTGGTTGGCTGGAAATCCTCAGCTGGCCTTGCTGTGCCTTGTGTTTTTCTCTCACATGGGTTCTTGGCCAGTTCTCAGGTAGTTAGAGAGGCACTCGGAGGTTTTACTCATCAGCCCCAAAACTCAGGGCACACACCCCTTTCCTTTACTTCCAGCAAAACTTTCCTTCCACCTTTGCTACTCAGAAGTCCTCAGTGGTGGTAAACAAGCCAATTATGGAGTAAAACCCTCCTAGGCCAAAAGGAGTGAGGAGGCAGAAAGGGAAGCTCTTTATAAAGGAATGGGGGTTGGGGGAAGGGAGCACATCTTAAATCCAGGCCTTTGCTTCCCTTCTTCATGGGTAGAGCTCCTGCCGGCAAAGGCAGCCTGCCAGCCCAGGGCTGGGAGCGACTTCTGCACTCCAGCAGGGAGCAAGCTTCAGGTGCTTGTCAATCGATTATTTCACGACAGGAGGGGAGAGCCTGGAACCGGATGGGTCAGTGGTGATAGGCTGGGCTGGGATAGGTAGGATCAGGCCTTGCCAGGTTTGCTCTGAAAAGATGCTCTGGTCAGGGCCGGAGTGGGATACTTGCACCCTCCCTTTTTCAGAGTGACAGACAGTGAATCTGAGCATCAGAACTGAGAAGGACTCGAGTAACAGAAGTCCAAGTGGAAGATAGCCTGGTAAGGTGGTCCCATTGCAGACAGACTGAAGGGCCATGGACATCTGGTGGTGATGGCACCATGCTGGTGGTAGCGTTGCAGGTGCAGGCCCAGGAACGTGTTTCTCCCAGGTAGCAGATGCTGGAGCAGTGAGGATCTGTGCCCCACCCCCACCCAGCAGCCTCTTGACCCTGAGGACTTCTCCCTTGTTGCTGGGTCAGGAACCTGGTTAGGACTCACCAGGGCAGCTTCCTGCTCACCACCTCTGTGGTCTTTGGGACTGTTGCTGGTGACACACCCAACAAGCACGTTTGCATCGTTCAGTTTGGATCTGGAGCCAACCAGTATGGATTAGCTTGGCTAGGCTTTCCAGCCCCTGATAGGAGGGCTGAGCCCTTTTCAGGTGGGAGCTTCCTGGATCTTGGCAGGGCCATCTTTGGACTCCTCTTGTAAAAAAAAGTACCACGTCAGGAAGCTGGGAAAATAGAGCTAGCATCTTTCAGGCCAGATCTCTGATGAATGGAATTCTCCAGATGTAAATTTTAGTTCACTGGAGTCTCCTTAACAGAGGCTGGTGGTTTGAGCCTGAAGCCTGGCCCTGGAGGGGTGCTGCTAATTCCATGGAAATGCAGGCATAGCCTGCCCAGTGTAGCATGAAGCTGCTGAGATGTGAGTGATATGATGGTCACCCCTAATGGACACACCCTGGGGCATTATGATTCCATCCTAAATCATTGCCACCCTGGGCTGCCCCCAGCATGGTTCTCCCAGATCTTTCCATCTGGCATGTACCATTTTAGTCTGAGGCCCTCTTGGAAATGGCAGATACTTTATGTCTGCATCTTAAAAGATTCTGTTTACAGATCTGGTGTTTGGAAGGCTTTTTTCATAGCTAAGAAAAAGAAATGAGCAAGGTTAACATGGCTAGCATTGCCAGTAGCATTGAAACAAGAGCTGGGGGCTTGCCAGGTGTCGCTGAGCATCTCCCTGAGGGTCCTTCCTATGCTTCAGTGGACTCTGCAAGTTGGGGAAGGTCCCTGACTTCTGCCAGTCTTTCAGCTCTGGGTGAAATCTTCTTTTAAGGTCATTTTATCTCCTTGCGCCTCCACTTTGACGAGCTCCCCCCGTGGGTAGGGATCATACCTGACTAGTGTTTTCACCACTCAGGGCCTGGTAAAGAGGTGGATCTTCAGTGAGTGTTTGTTAAATGAATGAATGAATGAACGAAAATTGAACAACTAATGAATGCCTGGCGAGCTCTGCTGGCCTTCTTGCTGTTTCTTGAACACAACCGGGACGCTCCCACCTGAGGGCCTTTGCCCTGGCTGTTCCTTAAGGCTGGAATGTTTTTCCCCAGATGTTGTCAGCCTCATCCTCTCCCCGCCCTCGGGTCTGCTTCAGCCTCACCTTCTCAGTGCCCTATTTAAAACTATAACCTCCCATCCTCCCCCACCTTCCTCATCTCCTCTACCCTGTGCTAATTTTTCTTTTTCTCATAGCACAGATCACTTTCTTTTTTTTTTTTAAGATTTTATTTATTTATTTGACAGACAGAGATCACAAGTAGGCAGAGAGGCAGGCGGGGGTGGGGCAGGAAACAGGCTCCCTGCTGAGCAGAGAGCCCGATGTGGGGCTCAATCCCAGAACCCCAGGATCATTACCCGAGTGGAAGCCAGAGGCCTAACCACCAAGCCACCCAGGCGCCCCACAATTCACTTTCTGACAACTCCATAATTTACAGATTTGCTATGCTGTTTATTGTGTGTCTCCTCCTGTTGGAATATTAAGTTCCAAAGAGCAGAGCTCCTTGTATTGTTCACTGGTGTATCCCTGGCCCCTAGAATGGTTCTTGGCCCATAGGAAGATGAGATCTCAAATAAAAGGTCACTGAATGAACATGTGATCTGTTAGGTTTGGGACAGAATTATCCCCATTCCATAGTGTTAGAATTTTGAGGAGCCAATACCCAGGGGACTTGATCTTTCCAGTTGCACCCAGGAAGACAGGAGGGGCTCCTACAACGACGTGTGTGTATTAATGGCTCCTGAGAAGCCGAGTTTGGAGTCTTGAGTGTGATGCATGGTTCCCCTTTCTTTTGCCTCACTTTCTATGAATAAGTGGTTTTTGACCATCAGGCGTATACAGAGCTTCCCTCCTGAGTTGAGTCATGAAGCTGCTCCCGCATACACACTTAGAGACAGGCTCTGGGAGTCCATGCCCGCATGGGCCTGAGCCGTTCCTGGGAGACTAAGGCAGGGTTACAGCTTCCCAGCTGCTTTGCCTCCCAGCTCAAGGCATTTATCATGAATTTATGGACACATACTCTCTGTGCAAGACACCGAGCTAGGCCCCACAGGACCTAGGAGTTAGACCATCTGGTTGGCTAGAGCTGTAAAGCCACTCACTGAGAGGCTCATACCATTTGACCTTGGTCCTTGACTTAACACTTCTCCTAGAATTGTTTGCAGCACTGGGTGTTGTAGTTGGCTTGTCTACAGCTTGAGATTTTAGAACAGAGGCTCCTTGGGCTACTCGGGGCCCAATTGCATTTTTCCTTTACCAAAGAGGCCCTCCCAGACACTGGAGGCAGAGTAAAGAATAAACTCTACCAAGTAGAAGTCAGAAGCTCCAGCCCCACAATGAAGCCCACCTTCTAGATTTCTGCTGTCCCTCCCTCCATAACATTCCTGCCCCTCTCAGGCCCTCGGCTCTGTAGTCCTCTTATCTTTCCCCACCTACTTTATAACCATCTAGCCCCCTGTGAAGACTTGGGTTTAAATTCCACCCAGCTTGGTCTCTGATCCATGAGGTGACTTTGGACCTATTACTGGCCTCGTAGAAAGTTAGTGTGTTTATGTATTGAAGGGGAAAAAGATAGAAATATTTTCGTTGAAAACTCCTCCCATATTTCCATCTGTGCCACATCACACTTCTCCCACGTTCTTCTTTCTTCCTGAAACAACTTTATCAAGTCAAGAAAAAACAGTGCATAATTTTTGCATTCACTTTTGGTTCCTACCGTCTGACACACTTAAAGTATCTTATTTTTCTCTGTTTACTTATTCATTCATTTGTTGCAACAGACATCTAATTTTTTGAGGCCTGTGTGTCAGACACCTTGCTCGCTGTTGGGAGTCCGAGAGGACTAGAACAGCTCTGTTGACGGAACTGGCAGTCTAGCAGAGAGACAGACCTTGTAAACAAAGCTTACTGTTCCCGGTTCAGGTAGGTGCAGTGGGGCTAAGGAAGGCCTAGGCCCACGAGATGCTTCTGAAGTCAGAATATCAGGACTCGGTGTTCATTTTGGAGATGCTGGAGTTGGGGCCAGGAAGCAGTTGTGAACATCTGAGCTTTCTAGCTAGGGATTCAGGTTGATGATGTCATTTAACAGAAGCAGGGAGAGGAGGAAGCAGAGACAGTTTGGAGGGTTGGGGCGTGGGTCCTGGTGGTAAATTATAGCTATGTGACCCTTGATTGGACTCCTCTGTGCTCATCAGAGTGTCTCCCACTTAAATGTACAACCAAACTGCCTAGATGTTTTCTTAAA